ACTGCTCTTTATGCTGTGCCATTCATTTCTCAAGTCTAAGGGTAATCATTGCTGTCTCAGAAAACCCTTCCCTAACTCCCCCCTTGGTCATGAGTTGGTTCCCTGAATCCCTGAGCCCCCTGCTCCTCATACGTGCCTCTGATTCCCTCTCTAAACTGAGAGTTACACGAAGGCAAGGCCCATGTCATTACCCCCAACACTTAACACAGAGCTGACAGGCAGCAGGTGATCAGTAAATATTTGTTGATTAACTAAATGATTCAATAACAGTGAAGGGTTGGGATTGCTGCTACTCTCTCCAGCGTGGTGTCTTCCCCCCACCACCCCAGCTGGGTTTCTCATTGTGAATTTAGAGAGTGTGTCAGTGAGGATGCTTTTAGCTGCAAGTAAAAAATACATGGTGGCAAGAAAGATGGAGGTGGGCGGTTTCAGGCAGGTTCAGCAACTCAGTGACCTCATCAAGGACCGGGGCCCTTTGCATCCTTCTGCTGTCACCCTTAGTGAGTTGGCATGTTGTCTTCAGACTTGTTGCATCATGGTAGTGGCAAGATGGCTGCTGTAGCTCCAGACATCACATCTTGATTCAACTGTATCATAAGATAAAAGGAACAGAGCAGGGCTCTCTTCCACCTCTCTCTCTTCCTCATCTGTTTTTGTGTCTTTCTCCCTGTCTTTGTCTGTCTCTCTCCCATCTTTCTGCCTGTTCCTGGCTTTCTCTTTCTGTGTCTTTCTCGTCATCTCTCTCTCCAACTGTCTTCCTCCTTTCTCTTTCTCATCTGTCTTTGTCTCTCTCTGTATCTCTCTCCCTGGTTTTCTCTTTCTGTGTCTCTCTTCATCTCTCTCCCGTGCCCCTCTCTCAGGGAAAAACTTTCCTGGGAGCCTACTAGCAAACTTCTCTTTATGTTTCATTGGCCCAAACTGGACACATAGCTGCAAGGGAGGCTGAAAAATCAAGTATCTGTTTGTATCATGGGAGGTGGGTTGGCCAGCTAAGAAGAAAGGGGAAGCAAATAACTAAAGTGTAAGCAAACAGTATTTGCCACCAGGAGGGGATGTGAGGGATTCTGGTTAAAGTTTGCAGTGGATGCAGGCCTTGGAAAATGGAGTCCTTGCATCTTTTCGGAAAGAGGAGGGTTCAGGTGCTGAATGCTTGTACTCTCCGTATTTCTTCTTCTGTTATCAGTTAGGTTTTTTTTTTTGTTTTTTTTTTTTTTAAATCTCTACAGACAGATGACCCAATACAAATTGGCTTAAAAATGTTAAGTTAATTTCAACTCATAGCGACCCCTGTGTGACAGTAGAACTGCCCCGTAGGGTTTTCTTGGCTGTAATCTCTCCTGTCAGCCTGACTGGGTCCTGTGCCCATCTCTCAACCAACAATCACACTAGGCTATGCCAAGTGGCTTAAGCCAATCAGGGGTTCGCCTCTGGAACTGGGGTCAATTCCAAATCCACCAAACTAGGGGTAAGGAATGATGCTGGAAAGTTACCACCAAATGCCCACTACCCTTTTCTCTCCACTCACCCAAACCCTTAAAGACATCAACATTCGCAGGCAGAGACTTTGGAAAAAGGCGTTTATTGGTGTGGTGGTCTCAACACTCCCCATGAATCGGAACACACGGCCCCCAGGGCCCCCACCCCCCTCCCTCAGCTCTCTCCCCCTCCCCTCCCTGTCCCCTGGACCCTGGGAATGGAAGACAATGTGGGATGGGGCCCACGCCCCCGTCTGAGGTACAGTCACTGCCCCTTACCCCCTGCCCCTACTCTGCCCTCTTCCCCACCAAGCTCTGGGTGGTGTGGTTGGGGGTGAGTGTGTATAGAGGGTCTCCCAGGAGTCAGAGCTGGTGATGTAGCATCTTCATTTGGGCTCTGCATGTCCAGCTGATGCCTCTCTGGCCCCTACTTGGTGTGGTGTGTACCACGGTGGAGTATTCCTACAATCAGAGCTGGGGTTGCAGCCTCTTGGAGGCCCTTCCTGACAACAGTCGCCCACCTTGGGGGAAACTACAGCTGGTCACCAGCTTCAGGACAGCTGGAGCCAGGGGGCTATTGCTGGTCACAGTCGCTGGTGTGTGTGTGTGTGTGTGTGTGTGTGTGTGTGTGTGCCAGGGCAGTCAGGACAGCCTTTGGGAGATACAGTCAGTGGAGAAGCCAGGGAGTGGTAGACCAGCAAGCCCATACCTGGGCAGCTGTAGGGGTTCTGAGGGCAGCTGGCTGGTGCTGCAGGTGGCCAAAGGGAGTGGTGGGAGGGGTGGGGCAAAGCACTGAGACAGACAGGTAACTATAGCCACCAGCCTGACAGTCACATGGAAGCACCGATTAGCCCAGGAGGGGGCCAGAAAATCCAGGGTGGGGAGGGGGAACAGGGGAAGTGGGAGGGTCTCAGGCTACTGAGCTTGTTATGAGACCTCTGGCTACAGGCAGCCAGTGCCAACATGGAGATCTCCCACCTATTCACAAAGGCTGGATGACAGCTTGACAGGCGAGTGTGACACCCCCTTCTCATCCCAACCTGCCCAGGAAACACCTTTCAACAGGCAGGGAGGGAGGGTCGGTGTGCGTGCATACACTGGGGAAGCAGGGAGCCTGGACAACCTCTCTTCACAGCTTCCACCACAAAGCCTCCATACCTACCTCCAGCAGAGGTGAGAGGCAGCAGTCTGGGGACAATGGCCACGGGGCTGTCAGGGGAAGGAGGCTGCTGAGCCCCCTTCCCCACCACCCACACACACACACACACACACACACACGCACACACGCACACACACGCACGTGAGCGATCCAGTTGACAGCCTGAGCTAAGAGAGGGGTGTGGGGTGGCCAGGGGTGGGTCACAGTCGGAAACGTGAACGGGTGGCGAGAATGGCTGTAGAAAGATGCATAATTTTGTGTTCTCCCTCACAGTGATGGGTTCTCTAAAGATCTCTCTTCCTCCTCCTCCTCTTCTTCCTTGGTGGCCGAGAGCTCTTCCACCCCCTCGAGACCCACGGCGCTTGCTCCCTCTTCCTCTCTTGCTCTCGGCCTGAGGCCCCCACCCCGGCACGGGGAGGCCAGCTGCACGGGGTTCCTCCTACATCCTCCACCACAGCCAGCTCAGGGCAGAGAGGAGGGTCAGGGGCCCTGGGGGCCTCGGGGCCGAGTTTTCCAGGGATCCTGGGCCTGAGGGAAGAGAAAGGGTCATGGAAGGAGGCCTGGGAGAGGGAGACCCCATGTGTGTCTCTCCCGGGCCCCCTGTCTCTGCAACAGTCTCTGAGGGTCTCTGTTGATCTTACCACTCTAGAGGACAGAGTCCCTGGGCAGTGCAAATGGTTAACATGCTCAGCTGCTAACCGAAAGGTTGGCAGTTCAAGTCTACCCAGAGGCACATGGGAAGAAAGGCCTGGTGGTCCACTTCTGAAAAATCATTTATTGCGAACCCTATGGAGCACAGGTCTACTCTGACACACATGGGGTCACCATGAGTTGGTGTTAACTGGTTTCTCTAGGGGACCCGTCTGGGATTCTCACTTGTGTGTCTGCTTTTTTGACTCTTTCTGGGCATGTTTTGAGTCTTAGGATCTCGCTGTGCAAAGATCTCTCTTGGCCACTCAGTCTCTCTTATCTCCCTGTCTGTCTCACATCTTATCTATCCACCCCGCCAGCCCCCAGCCTGGAACTATCCATGTTTGTCTTTCTGCCTTACAGCTCCTATCTATTCAGCATTTCCACCAGCTATCTCATACTCCACACGCCCCAAACTGCATTCTTGATTTTTCTCCCCCAAACTGGCTACTCCCTGATACCTCTCCATTTCAAAAAATGGCACCCGCATTCCTCCAGCTGTTTAAGCAAAAATCTCAGAATCACCTTTGACTTGACTTTGTGCTTCCCTCATCCCTCCACATCCAGTGCAGCAACTTAGCCCCATGGGCTCTACTTCAAAGCACCTCCTAAATACACTTCCACCGCCATGGCCCAAGCCGCCATCGCTTCTAGCCTGGAGCAATGCAGCAACTTCCTCCCTCATCTCCCTGCCTCCATCTTGCCCCCTACAGGCCATTCCTCAAACAGTACCCAATGAGGGGTTCCTGGGTGGCGGAAATGGTTTGCCATTGACTGCTAACTTAAAGGTTGATAGTTCCAACCACCCAGTAGCACTGCAGAAGAAAGGCCTGGAAATCTGCTTCTGTCAAGATTTCAGGCGAGAAAACCTTATGGAGCACAGCTCTACTCTGTAACACACAGGGTCGCCATGAGTTGGAATCAACTTGACGGCAACAGGTTTGATTTATTTGCTTTTGTGCTCTTTAGAAGCATCACCCAGCTGCTAGTCCCCTTCTTAACAGCCTCCAGTGGCCTCACTCTGCAGTAAAGTAAAATTCAGACTCCTCACATGGATTAAGTAGTCCCCGGGTGGTACAAACAGTTAAGTGCTTGGCTACTAATCAAAAAGCTGGTGGTTCAAATCCACCCAGAGGCGAGTCAGAAGAAAGACCTGGAGATGTACTTCCAAAAGGTCACAGCTACGAAAACCTATGGAGTGCAGTTCTGCTCTGCAATACATAGCGTTGCCACAAGTCAGGAAGGGACTCAATGGCAACTGGTTTTACTGGTCTCACCTGGCTCACGAGACTGGCCTCTATGTTCCTCTTTAACCGTATGTCCCACATGATCACTCTGCTCGGGTCCCACTAGCGTCCTTGCTGTGCCTTTGCATACACCCTTCCCCCTGCCTGCAGAAGTCTTCCCCCAGATCTTAGCAGGACTGGCTTCTCCCCATTCAAGTCTCAGTTCAAATGCTGCCCCCTGCAGTAAGCCTTCTCTGATTAGCGTATCTAATGTTGCCACCCTCAATCCTCTCTCTGATTTATTTTCTTCATAGTCTTTATCGATATCAAAAAATATTTGTTTATGTATGTATGTATGTATTCTTAAAGGCCCCTGTGTGCTGCAACCGATTTGCACTCGACTACTAACCTAAAGGTTGACAGTTCGAACCCTCCAGCCATGCTGCAGAAGAAAGGTCTGGTAATCTGCTTTCATAATGATCACAGCCAAGAAAACCCTATGGAGCAGTTCTACTCTGTAACACACGGGGTCGCCATGAGTCGGAATCGATTCTAACCTATGGGATTGGAGTGGGCTTGTATGTATTTGCTTGTTATTTATTTATAAATGTGTCTACTTGCTCATTACTTTTCAACTGTTACTAGAATGTAAGCTCTGCGAGTCTCCCGACCTTGTCTCTTTGTGTACTGCTTTGCCCTCGGCGCTCAACGTCCGACCTTTAGTGGGTGCTCAATAAATATACGCCGAATGGATCAATGTCGTGCTCAGTAGCGCTGTTCTAAGCGTCTGTCTCTTGGCTAAGTCCTG